TATATGTTGGTAACATGCTCCAGCAAGAAGTCTGGAAGTACATAATCAAAAAGTTCAGTTCAATTAATTGAAATTCAACCATATTTATAGAGCACAAAATTACAAAAACAGTCACCTCAAGGCACTTTATATTGTATAATAAAGACACTACAACAATAAAGAGAAACCCCAACGTTCAAACAACCCCCTTTGAGGAAGTTCTTGGTGACAGTGGGAAGGAAAAACTCCCTTTTTTCCTGGAAGAAACTTCTAGCAGGACCAGGCTCAGGGGGGTGGCCATCTGCTGTGACCAGTTCAGGGTGATGAAAGTGTTAGTCAAACGAAAGTGTTAATGACTGTTTTTAATGAAGAGCTTAATAAAGCAAGAAATGGGTACTTCTCTATTTCAATTAACACAAATAAGCACAGCCTTGGAGCTCTTTTTAACACACTGGAGTGTTTAAATTCTGTAACCTTTAATCAGATTATGGTGTTGATTGAGAAAAGTCTTCACTTTCTACATTTTTTCAAGTCTAAAGTTAAATGACATAAAATTCTAAATAGCAGCTCCTCATTCTTTTATTGGTGTCCCTGGCTCCCAATCTTATTTAATGACAATCTCTATGGATGAGCTTTTAAATACTGGTACAACTGAGTTGCTCCTCAAGCTGTGTCCATGTGATTCCACAAAATTTCAGTTAAATGTCACTGCACCAAAATGCTCAGAATGAATAAAAAATATATGTAAGGGAAAACAAATAAAGGTGTAGGCTTTAACATCCATCCATCCATTTCTTCTGCTTATCTGGGGCCAGGTCACAGGAGCAGTAGCTGAATCAGAGAAGCCCAGAGCTCCTTCTCCCCAGTCACCTCCTCCAGCTTATCCGCTGAAACACTTATCCGTACACTTTGCTTTTAAGGTCCCGGTATACCCGCCCCAACTATTTTTTAAAAGATTTTTACTCCCGCAGAAACAATTTGGAAATCTGTGCCTTCCTACTTGGACCTTAGACACTGTTATCAGGTTTGCTACAGTAGACTTTTCTTGAATTGGTTGTGCAGGTTTCTCTCTTATCATTTTGTCACCACTTTCTCCACTTGTGAGTCTGTTAGCTGGAGCGGTTTGGAGCAGAGTATGAAGTGGTGAGTACTGGGACCTCCGAGTCTGAGGCCTTTGGTCTCAACCGGGAAAGAGTGGACTGCACACTTTAAGTCAGGGACGAGTTGCTGCTCCAAGGGGGAAAGTTCAGGTATCTTGGAATCTTGTTCATGAGTGAGGGAAGAGGGGAGTGGGAGATCAACAAATGGATTTGGGCTACCACTGCAGTGATACAGATACTGTACCGGTCTGTCGTGATGAAGAGAGAGCTGAGTGTGAAAGTGAAGCTGCTGGTCAATCTTCGTCCTTACCCTCAACTATGGCCACAAACTTTGTATAGTGACTGAATGAAATTGTGAGTACAATTGTCAGAACCCTTAGACATAGAGTTAGGATTTCATCCATTCTATGTGGAGGAGTAAAGCCGTTGCTCCAAAGATTTCCAAAACAAATTAATCTCTAGAACAAAACATAACAACAGCATCATAAAAGATGTACATCCAGTCATCCATCTGTAATACTCATACTCAATGTATCACCTTCAAACTCCCAAAGCTAGTGAAGATGTGCACTATTTGTCCTGTCAGACAATCAATGAGAGAGCCAAGTTCAGCTCTGGCAGTAAGCTAATTGATTGCACTGGTCTACTTTTGAACTGCTGCTGGTAGTTCATTTGGGCCACTGTGCAGTAATCACTCACAATAGATTATATTTCATCATCACGTAGTGGCTCAGTTATACCCTTCAACTGAAAAATAAATCAAGTACCTGTAAACAATAAGGATTGGCTGTCTATTGTATTATGCTCACTAAAAACAACATGTGCTGAAGTTACATCATGTGCTAAAAACGTAGTTTTTCCTCTAACATCTTTTGCGGTGACTCAATCAGAAGTTTGTTAAAGTTGTGCTTTTTTTAAAAAATCTGACAAGTTATAAACTTCATAGGTAAACATTTACAATTTACCAAGTTCTTGTAGTCTTGGTACTCCGGAGGCACTTTTCTCATATCAATATAAAACTTTCAGTTGCTTAGCATAAGTGGCCATTTTAACTTTGAACAGGATGACAATTTTTCATTTATTAATTTTTTTTTAATCCTGTGAGTTCTTGAGAGTGAGGACAAAACTTCATTTGGGGCCTCTGCACCTTCTACAACCCTCCCACCCCACCCCAATATCTGCTGCAGATGAGGAGATCAGCAGGGTGTGAAATGGCCATGGTGATTGCTCCGAGGCCATAGGGCCTCTAGCCCATTCACAGCCTGTCAACTCTCTAATAGAGCCAGAGGAGATTGGAGACAACCCCACAGTTACCAGTGCTACCCCACCATCATTATTGCCACCATGCTGTTAAAAGTATAATGCGTTTTAGATATGGAACGGATTTTCTACCAGTTTCCTACAGTATTTAAGAATTAAATAGATGTTCCTATTCTATTTTAAGTTTGATCTCAAGGGAGAAGGTGATTTAGTATGGTAGCCCTTCCTTTTAAAGTCGCCTTATTATTACGTACCAAGTAAAATATGGTCATTTATAGTGTAGAATAGAACAGATAGAAGTAAAAAATATCAGAGCTATACCAAGACAAGGGATAAGAGAAACCAAATAAAAATTATATTGTTTTAATTTTGGATTGGATGTTGACACAAATTCTAGTGAAGTAGCTGCAATTGTGTGAAAGAAGGGATACGATAATTAAATTAATATGACATTTTTGCTCTGACAGCAGCCCTTAAGAAATTATTTTTATAGTGATGATGAAAACATACAAATTTGAATTGTATTATAAAACAAAAGGAAGTGTATGTGAACTATTCCATCAGATAATTTGGACTAAGTGAACGAAATCTTAAAATGATGACAGATCACTGACATTTTGTATCTACTGTGACTGTGCAAACTTGAGTCTTGAATTAAGAATGAACTGCCGTTAAAATATGTCATAACAGAAATTACTTGATCTAAGAATTAGATTTAGTTTCAGAGTGGCCTTCACAGAGTAAGCTGTGCATAGCGGACAAAAAAGTGGGCCAGGCTTCTTTTTGATGTGTGGAGTGTAAATACAGCCCTTCACCCCCCTTCCTCTAATTGTAACTGTGTTGTTTTCATATTGTTGAGTCTCAGAGATGTATAATTTATCACACAAATAATCTGGAACAAAACAAACTCTCCTCTCAGCTCCCGAGAGCCCGAGCATCTAATGAGTTCACTCCATAAAATATTCATACCTCTGCAAATTATACTATCACTTTCCCTGCAATATACACAAGTGCACACACACACACACACACACAAAGAGCTGTCCAACATTCCATTGGATATAATGGCAGGTTGTACAACCTTAAAAGCTCATTGATCACTGTCAAACAACAACAATGTATTCTTTATTGCTTTACGTCTGTGACTTGACTTAATAAAGACATCAGTTACTCATATTGATCCAGATCTCATTTAAAGTCTTCTCAAATGTTTGGACCCTCATCTTATTGACCAGGGTCATGCAGACCCCAGTGGTATTTTTGTGTGTTATATTTCATAGGTGTGGGTGTTTTTTTTTTAATAATTTCCTTTTTTTTAAACTTTGCAAATCAGTTTGTATCTCATAAAGCCACATCATTGTTTTCTATTTCTGCTTTGATTAGTGCTTGAAAAAATGTTCTGGCCAGATTAGCGAACCTGAAATTGATAGTTTCCAGGGAAAGGAAAAAACAGGGACTGTACTTTTTCTCAAAAGGTATTCAAACACTTACATTTCTGCAGGTGATTAATCCAAATTTGCACTGATGAGTTTTTAGATAGTGTACAATTAGAAAGATTTAATAGTAGTAATTAGGAATTAGTAGTAATGTTAATACCTCAGACATATTACCTTGAATTAAAACAAAATTTTTAAAAGAACTTAAAAATTCATCTCTCAACTAAGGTTTTATACTTTTTGGCTTTTGTCCTGTAAATCAAAATGTTACACCAATAAACAAATAAGATTTTACAAAAGTACTCTTTTTTTTCTCCACCCCGTTCTTTTCACCTGGTTTTAGATTTTCTCATGTTAGAAATATGAGGAAATATTATTTCCAGGCAGCGGGAAGGTTGAAGGTGCCATTTTCATCCAGTCACAGCCAATTATGACCTGGCCATCAAGAGATGAGAAGTGGAAGAGCAGGGAAAGAAATCAGACGAGGTTTTCATGCTGAGAGCCTGCCACCCTCCACCAACACCTTTTTCTCTTCGAGGAGAGAATCCAAAAATCCAAATCAGGAAACCATCTCTCCTCTTTAAAAAAATTCAAATGCCAAGGGGCTACAAAAAGCCCATGTGACAGAAGATTGAGCACTTGCTTCAGCATGTGAGGGAATGACTGAATTTCATTAAGATAGACTCCAACACTTTTGTCTCATTAGCAGATCAGGAATCAGGGGACGAGGCAGAAGGAAACTGCACTCAGAGTGATCACACAGGTAACCACTTGCCCAAGCACTTTTTGATTGGTTAATTAGTGTGTTTTCAATCAGCCAGCTCTTGCAGCGCACTCCCCCATAATTAAAAGGTAAAAAGAAGGCTTCTAATAAAGCCTGCAGCTTCTTCTCTTTTACCCTGTAAAGCTATTATGGTAAAACCTGGACTGAATACAGTGAGGAGTAATGCACACACATAAGTTAAAGTATGTATAACACTATAAGGATATGTGAGAATACTTTATGAAGCTTATACTTGATAAGGTTTGAGCTGGCAAAAAAAAGTCCTATTTAGAGATTTAAAAAGGACAAGCCAAGAAAAAAGACAATTATAAAAGTGTTTGGTTACAGTTCATTTCAAAGTTTATTGCTGGATTTACAATCAGTCATACAGGTGTAGCAGTTGAACAGCCAATCATAAGGGGACTACAAAGGCTTAAATAGGTGATTGCAGCCAGGTGTGGGGACTGCTTCCTGCCATTGTCCTGGACTCTGGTTTGGCTCCCCTGTGGGTTGAACTGATTTACACTTTTGCCTGGTGAGCTGAAATAGTGGACTTCTTAATAGTTTTACCCACTCCAGTGTTTTGTTTTGTACTGGTATATTTCCATTTAGTAATTTGTAGGTGCCATAGCTAACTTATGTTTTGTTTTTTCAGGAGCACTGACTGCTGTTTATTCTGGGATTTATTTATTTATTTTTTAGCTTTCATTTGAAGTATTGTTTATTTAGCTATTTAATAACTGTGTTTTTCATATTTGTTGTTCTGTCCTCTTTGTTTTTAGTGCTGTGGCGGGTGGCTGCCTCCAGCTCTAGGCTTTGTTGATATATTGGGAGCAGTTTGTTCACTAATGGAATACTCCAGGTATCTCAGCAGTGGTTGGTTTTATTTATTTATTTTAACTACATATTTTAGCAAAATTCTTAATAGCCAGTTGGCAAATACAAATGAACTGAATTATATTAACCCAGTTTTCAGCATAATCCCTCACAGCTCAGACTTATGCAAAGTGCACACTAAATAGATTTTACCAGAGTTCTTGATTTAAAAACTTATTTTTTTCAACTAAAGGCATCACTTCAGACTAAAGTTCCTTTCTGTGTTTTAATTTCCTTTTTACCTCGAAGAGGAAGGAATTAAACTTGGCACACTTTGTGACACCATGATTATTTTGTTGTAGCTGCGCTTCTAGGCAATAAATCTTATGCTATTGGCGTTATTTCCCTTGAAATTGTGGCACATTTGTAAGGAAAATGCATTTTGGGGTTGAGCATAAGATGTGTGAGTGTATGCACTATGTCTATGAAAAACGTGCACAATCTTTCTTTACTCTGATATTGACTTATGTTCATCATTTATTGGACTGGATGATTAGTCATATTGGCAATATAACAATTTATTGAGTTAATGGTCCCTCTGCATGTAGAGGAACCACAAGTATGGAACCACCTCCTGATGGTTACCCACTGTGGGATGGCATCTCATCAACCAGAATAAGATTGTGTTATGTGAACTTGTGGACTCAACATTAGCTGTATTGTCCCTGTAACAAGGAAAATATTGAAAGTGGGTTGTGTTTTTAACCTTCCAATCCCCCAGAATTTTTAGACTTGAACAGTCCTCCAAATCCTCCTCCATACACATGAATGCACATTCACGTTTATCCTTGCCTCTTGGCTTAAGTGAAAGAAAACAAAACACAAACTTCAACTAAAAACTGTATTCTGACAACGATATTGGTTAGGGCTCGAGTGATGCTGCATCAAACACCATGATTTTTACATAATAAAACAGGAATCCAACTGGTGCTGACAGGAAGGAGATTTCAGCAGAATTTGTCAGAATTTTAGAGTGACTGTTTCAGCTTTTTAGATTTCACTCTGGAGAAAATAAGTTTCATGACCTTCAACACAAACAAACAGATGCAAGCTGGTTGATTCAGCCAGCATCGTATATGCAGCAGTGGCAGCTGCATTGTTGTCAACATGTGTTAGGTTTATTGATTAGCTAGAAATTGTTAATTATCCATCCAAATGGGTAATTAACAATTTCCAACTTCAAAGACATTTAAACCCCTGGACCCTGCTTCTAATTGAAGGATAACGAGTCATCAGAAAAACATTTGAGGGACGGCTGTCAAAACTGAACCAGCAATGATAATAAAAACAAACAGCAGCCGCAGTTTGAAGAATGGAGCAGAATGACTTTTCATTTGTGTAATCATAGTCTTTCAAAGTAGTTTTTTCTTCTTCTTCTAGTGAATGCATACTCGCAGTGCAAATGAGTGCAATTAAATATTGAATGAAATTATATTTTCTCACTTGAAAAATTAGTGCAGTAATTTGTGGAAATGGTTCTTCCTTCTTTTGTGACATTTCAGTGCTCAGTTAACACTTAAATTGGTCAGACTTCATATTGAAGGCATGTGGAAAATGTAGTGAACCTGACATTAAAATCAAAAACAACATCCACAGCAGAGTTGAGGTCAGGCAGACTTTGGAAGCTCCAGCTCTTAAAGAACAACTTCTATCCACATTATCAGAAGAAGCACGTGTCTCTATAAAGTAGTGCAACTTTGATTTGTGTTGTCAAACAGTGTCATGGTGATGTAGTATATGGAATGAATAGATGACTTATCCCTGTCCCCAAATGGCTACAATGCATTGAGTTCTGCATTTATTATTCTTGTTTGTGTTAATAAGACATATTTCCTTTAATCAGTTAAGGTGCAATGGCTCCATCTAATGGTCACTTGGTGATATACAGGGAAGTTGCTGAACTTGTTTACTCAAATTTTTTTTTTTTCAATATAAAAACTTCTCAGTATAACAAGTACTATAAAACCAGGCAAACAGCCTTGATTTTTTTTTTCTTGTAAAGTCTGAATGAAAAATGTGTAAAAACAAAGCCAGAAGACATTTGGATTGATTTAATAACATATTTTAATTTCAGTGTTTTAGTATAAAAATCCCACCAGCCTGCTGTCAGCTGGGTTCTGTTCCCTGTTAACTGTGGTTTTTCCCAGAGAATCAGCTAAAGTACCAAATCTATTTACACACAACATCCACATTCAGAAGGACCAAAGAAAACAGGAAGTCTACCCACTGCTACCCTGCCAAAATAAAACACTGTCACCTCACCCTTCAGATTTAATGCTATCAATATGGGAAAACAAAGACTGACACAGGTAAAAGAGAAGGGGCTTCTATGTGACTCCTAGTGCACCTGTAGTATTTTCTTACTTTCTCTATAAAGTAATGCATATACATTTTTGAATTTACAATAAATTAGTACAGGCACATTCTCTTCTCGCCTACAGCTGACTGTCCACTCCAGGTTGAGAAGGTGATTCTATGACATTTTTACAGAAGACGAACTCATCACAGCAAACAAACAGGCCAAAAACCTGAAAAAATCTAATAAAAACCCCATAAAAGATAATTGGGGAACCTGTGGGCAGCTTTTTTTCTCCTTTGTTTTGGTGTGAATGATGCACTTTGGGCATTTTAAACTTTGAGAGTTTTATAGATGTTATATAAATATGTACAAACAGTAAAAAAAAAAAAAAAGTAGTCCAGTAAAAACATTCAGAATTAAAAAAAAAAAAAAAAAAAAGCACACACAAAAACACATTAATGCCAAAGATGAGAACTTGAAGCTTGAGAACTCAATAACTTACAAAAAAACGTACAAAAGAAGGTGAAATAAAAAGGTTCAATACAGTATGCATGTTTGATTTTTCTCTGTAGAGATAGCACCAGCAGAAATCCCAACACTGTCAGTGCTGTTGACAGCGCGGATCATCACCTCACTGTATAAATATCAGAATGCTGTGTACCAAAACTGACTGAGGGAATGAATAAATTAGTGTCAGGCCTTGTACAGGATATTTACAGGAGCTGCTGCTGTCACACACAATGATGGACAATTTCATGGCAGTGAGATTGCAGCAGTCTTGCAGCACATTTAAGGTCAGAGGCCAAACTCTGCCACATTCAACAGGTTTAGACCTGCTACTTTTCAGTCCTCGCAGCCAAGATTTGATTTGTTTTTTTTCCCCTGTCAACTTTTTGAATCCACTAACAAAGACGTTTTTCATTGCATAGCTCTTGACAAATAAGAACAACTGTTTCAAGCTACAGTATTTCAGAGAGGTGGAACCTGTGTGTGAGGAAGGGTGGAAATGATTTGGTTCCAGTTTGAAGGACATAGTAAACAAGATGTGTTTGTGTTGTGCGTATACAGCAGACACCGTGTTCTCTGCAGTGACAAAAACATGATTAAGAGATGGGAGGATTCTTGAGGTGGCGGGGCTTCAAATCGTGACACCAAGGCCAGTGTTCGGCTTGAGCTCTCTAGCTCGGTCTAGATGGTTCATGGCTCGATCGAAGGCGAGTCGCACAGATTTTCGGACTGAGGACGACCGAGCCTCCATCAGCTTCATTCTGTCGAGCATCTTATTGACGCCAAAGGGAGCCATTTTGGATTTAGGAAGCCATTGCCTGATGAGAGAGAAGACCATTTTGGAAAATGTTTTCACATGTGACGAAGTGGAGTTCCTTTCAAGACCTTTTGTACAAGACACAGAATGCAGTTCAGCATCTCTTTCATAGTCTGATCAGTCTAAATTGGTTTTGTTTTACATATATAGTAATAATTTGACATAGGACAAAAAAAAGGTCTGTATTAAGTGGCTAACGTGTTTTGTTTGTCTCAGAAGTCACTCTTAAACAACATCAGTACAAAAGTAAATTTTTGTTAAAGTGAAGCTTTCCTTTTTTCTTTTTTTTCCCCCTCTTCTCCCAAACTAGGTCTCTGGAAAAACTGTTTGGGGACCACATCACAATAGTTAAGTTTCCTATTATGAACACATTAAAAAGCTGTCATTAAGCAGGCTACAGTGACTCATACATTGGCTAGCCACAGATATGACTGGTGGAGCTCATCGACAACAGCAGGAGTAGATTAGAGTGGATCAAATGTTGCTTTCCAGGTTAAATAGGTTTCAAACGTACAATCTGTCTTGATCACTTGTTTTGTTTAAGCAAGATTAATTCAATCCCAGCTAACAGTGAAAGAAGTTGGCTGCTCACCAGCTGCGCCTGCTGTCGAAGAAGTGGACGAGGAAGAGTTTCTCTGCGGACCTGAACTGCATCCGCTCTCCGGCTCTGAGAACGTCCAACGGTGGCTGGGGAAGCTCCACCCCGCTGTGCCGACACATTGTCCTCCGTGACCTGGGGTCCATGATCTGTGAAGACCAAGAAAATGGAGCGGGACACTGAGGGAGGCAGACTTCTCGCAGGAAAACGTGTGGCCAAAAATTGGCACCTGGAGTTTGGGACTTTTTTGTTTTGTTTTTTTAATTTAAATGGCTGGCTGAAAACTTGCAAAAATACTAATTTGTCTTGATAAGTACATTACTTTTGGTTTGTTTGTGTTATTTGAACAGCCCACTAACATCACCAAGTCAGTGCCATTTCTGTGAAGAGTTAAATATCTGCTTCTGCCATCAACTCCACATCTAAGCTGTAAGTTGTCCACGTCTTGCTTGGGGGAAAATCTTTCTGTAAAAGGTACTGATAACTGAGAAGTCCAAAAAAACTATTAATTCCAAATGGCTCAATTCCTACTGAGCTAGATCAAATAATTCAAAATGCAAAATTAGCTTTGTCTCCACTCGGAAGTAAAGGAAATAGAGAAGATCTAAACAGTTCTATAATTACTATTTCTATTTCATTCTTACAGTAGATGTGATGTTTTAATGAATGTTATTTTTTTTGGATGGGCATATTTGAAAGTGTTTTCTGCATTAGAAAAATCTGACCCTGAGCTTTTTTTTTTTCCTAATTCTCATTTCACTCGTTTCCATTCTAGCTGATCAAGTAAAGCTAAAGACATTATTTGTAGCCCTGCTACAAGTTGACTACTCGACTTACATTTTATGTCTAATTGCAGTGACTAAAAACACCCCAGTTTGTTAGACATTCAGACTAAGGAGTTAGCAAATATTATACCAATTAAATACAGAGTACTGTCTTTATTTTTAGACAGTACTGTGTGAGCAGTGTAAGTCTTACATGACACTGACATTGTGCCAGCCAAGTTATTTAGCTAAGGCTTTTGACAATGTAAGAAATAAATTACATGCTTAACTATAAGTGGACTTGATTTTCATGTTGCTAACTTTAAAGTTTGTAACTAAAACTGAAGGATGCTGTTCTATACAAACTAACAGTTCCTGTAAAGTGACTTTCTTTTTAAGTGACACTGATCGAAAGAGCTTTGTTTCTGACTTGCAAACTGTATTTTAAAATCATATTAATGAACTTAAGCTCTTTAAAGAGACTATTCTGCCCAGATTTGCAAGGAGCAAATTGTTGTTATACATGATGATGTAATGTATTTGCATTAGACTGCCTCTGACCTTAAACCCTTCAGCGCAGTCTCTTTCCACCCTGTCATTGGTAACAGGGGATAGATTTTAGAATGCATTGTTTCTTTCCATATGTGAAAGTTGGGAGGTAGCTGTTGAAAAGAACTTTACTGGATTTTATTTGTTAATTCCGCCAAAAAGGGGGATTGGTTCAGTGTTTCTATTTGTTAGCAGATTTACACAAAATGTTATGGATGGGGTTAGCATGACGTTTTTTAGCAGAGGTGGGTTCTTGGCCCAACTTAAGTGATTAACTTGTGGTTCAATCAGGAGAAGGATCCAGGCTTTTTGGAACAATTCTTTACCATTGTGACACTTAGCCTTTTTCCTGGTTCTCAATGCATGTTATGGAGGGAAATTTCATCCTTTGCCCAAGTGGGCAAACTTTCAGGGACTATCCTTTAACTAGAGATCAATTTCACATTGCTCTGCAGCTCCATGACTCACTGGTCCTGAAATTCATTATCCTAATACTAAATTTAGGGAGCTGACTTTTATTATGCTGCACACAAGTGAAACAATCTGCAGAAGCCTGTAAAATTAGATAAACTAATCCAATGTAATCCCCCATCTTGAACTGACAGTTGTGTGAATGCGTGAGATTTCTTTCAACTGATGTATCTTAAATTATTGCCCTGTTTGTTGACATATTTAGTCACTTCCATGTCCTTTGTGTTTTCTGTATTCTAATTCAAAGCACTTGATTTCCAGTATTTTTAAGAAAAAAAGAAAGAAAAAAAGCTGAAGTGCATAACCTGGTGAAAGAAGGCAGCATTCAGAGAGACAAGCATGCAAGGCCAAGTCAAGCCCAATACACCCAGAGCGAAGCGACCCACACTACACACGACGACAACAACAACCATTCCACTATCAGCCAGCTGGAAGCTCCTGCGTGGCCATGAGCACAAATTACGAGCTACAGGATGGACAATGGCAGAGGGGCAGATGGGTAATGAGATACAGAGGGGACTAACACTCACTCACCAGGGCAGGGAAGGAGGGATATCCACTACATTTAGCCCAAACTAGTTTAAGAGGCTCCAGAACAAATGGAGAAGCAGCAGTGGGTTTCCACACCTCTACAGGAACAACAACAAGCAAGTTATGAAGGATACACTGCAACAGAGAGCACAACCAATCTCAACGCACACACACCGCCAATAATACTTTCTATTAAGTAGACCATGTAAACCATTTTTAGGGTGTATATCGTATGTATGTGTGGGTACTGGCTCTTTTTTTTTTTTAATATAAATATGTCCGTGTTAATTTATATATTAAGTTCACGTACTGCTGATACTTTTCATGAATGGCATAGGAAATAACTTTCTTTAGATTTGCTTTTACCATTGCAAACACTCACACTCAAAAACAAACTGCACACGCACTCTCACAAACACACACACACACACAATCAATCCAACTTCCTAACTTCAAGACTGTCATAATGCAATGTTCATTAACGTCGGCAGTAATGATGAACAATGCAGTTTTAGTAGTTGCACCACATCAGTTCAAGTACAATGTAGCTGACGGGCACGAGTGTATAATTCGCTTTGAATCCACAAAGAAAATACCAGTCTTTAGTTCACTTCCACCTCGTCCATCCGCGGTTTCCCGTTTCTGTTGTTCTCCTGCGTTCACAACTTCCTTTGTAGCTTGAACTCAGTGTGAGCGCAGAATATGCTGACTTAAATCCAGTACCTGATGAACCACTTAACCTCAGTTTCAGAACCAGTGTGGAAGACTCCATTGATGAATCGGTGATTTCATGGTTCTGTAGTAACCCCTTTTCAAGGATTTCTATTTAAAGGATTTTTACATCAAAACCTATGACACTCAACATGACTCATTCAACTTCAATTGCTCTGTATTACACAGGTGTAAAAGTAGAAAAGTGAAGATGTAACATGAAAGCAAGAAATTAATTTAATAAAATGCTGCATGCTTGGACATAAGAAGTATTAGTATCCCAATAAAGAGCCACTCTTTAATTAGTTTAGTAAATGTCTTCAGAAGACAGAAGTAAGAAATGACAAATCAAAGCTTGCCAAGCTGTTTCATGCACACTCATTAGGTCACAATCCAGAGCTGATCGGCTCACCTGAAGAGATCTTTGCAGCTTTGATGAACTCGCCATTTTCAATGCAGGTCATTAGAGTGCTTTTGTCATCCACAGTGCTACGTCGAGCGGTGGCCGGTCGCCCTTTACCACTTTTAGACAGGATAACGGTCCTGAAAGATGCAGGAGCAAAAGTCAATGAGGAAAATGTTTTTTTGTTTTGTTTTGTTTTTTAAAAAACCCTCATGCTGGAATGATTGACTAACAATTATTAATTTTGTCTTCACCAATTCATTTTCAAACTCCAAATCTAGTTAAGCAAGTGAAACCAAAAGAAACCTACTTCATATTATTAAAAATATATTTTTGTCTTATGACATTTTGTTCCAAATTATTAAATATCAAATTTTATACTTCAAAAGAACTTTTAGTTTTACAAAATATAAGCTAATAGATAATACATCAAACTAGGGGTGGGTGATATATCGAATATACTTGATCTATTGCAAGTTTTCCACGTACGATGGTTAAAACAATTATAAATTGCCATGGCAATACTAGGCTGTCTGCATGGGATTTACTAGGAGTTTTTTTTTTCTCCCATGCATCCAATGAATCATTAATCCCCCGCTCCCTACCAGAAATGTTTCTACCTGGCACACTGCACTGAGCATGTGTGTTTATATACTACCAGATAAGGAAAAACATATCGCAGCAGGAGTTTCAGACGAGCGAGGGATGGAGACTATCATTTGGATTTCACAGGAAGGATGCCGTAAAACTATTGCCACTAAAGGTAGCAGCACCACAAATGTATTCCACCAGCTAAAGTCATCCACTACAAAATGAAGCTCGTTTTAAACTCCGCATGTCAGCGTCTCCCCACACACCAAAGAAAACGTTAAATAAACCAGCTGTGACACCTGTGACTGTTCTTGGTTAGTTCTTTTTATAGACACTATCAAGACTTTTGTTTCTGTAATTTAAAGTCATCACATTTTTTATTCTACTATTTTTATATGTTATAACCACAAACAAGCACCTTTTTAATTTCAGTCGTTTCATTTTGCCGCGTGAGTTTTTTGTTGCTATGATCTTTTGTTTGTTAAAGGTCTGGTGTTGACCACAGAAGCAGACTTACTGTGACAGTATTGTCATTTGTGGAAAACCTCTGTGTGCAACTGACGGTTAACTAATTTGGTTTGAAAACAGAAAGTGTCTTGGCACCTTTCGCCTTGGAGGCGCATATATTAATTGTTCTGATTATACTATAAACTTGGTCACCACAATGTTAACACTGGAAGAAGTTAAGGACAAAATTATGAAAATAAGCATAGCCACTCAGGATTTGGTTGGTTCTTTTCTCACTCACCTTGTGTCACAAAGGATACTTCCACTTGAAGAGATGCTCGACTCGGAGGCACAGCGTCGGCGTGGCTCAAGCAAACGGGGAGATTGTGAGACCACACCCTCCTCTTCCACCACAAAACCGTTTGCCATTCCTGAGAGGGATAATAATACAAGAATTGTTTTAAACTCACTGAATCTTTTTGTCACCAGCATTGTTTGCAATTGAAACAAAATAATTAATATCTGACTGGCACCTGTACCAAGGCGTTTGATCGGCGACTCCTCGTCGTCCTCACCATCAGCGCTGCTGCTGCGTTTTCTTTTCTTTGGCAGAAGGAGCGTCTCCAATCGAGGTATCACTACTGACAGGAAGGTTTTGGCGCCCAGGGGTGGGGGGGACCCAGAGGAGACCTCTTGGGTCCGGGGTAGTTTCTGTGGGCTAGCACTTTTTGACTTCCGAAAGAGCACATTGGTCCTCCGGTTATAGCGTTCCACGTAGAGGTCACTTTTGGGGAGCAACGACTCTGGGATGTGCCCATTAGGGGTGTCCGATGGCACTGAGGTAGATGTGTTGGTGACGTCCTCAAACTCTGTGGGTGACTGGTCCAAGGGCTTTGTGAGCTTCACGGGGGTCGGGTCCAAGTCCATAGGCAAAATTTGGGATGGTAAGGTTAATGTCTCTAATGGTGGTGGAGGTAAAGACTTGTCTTCCTGTGGTATACTGGGATCTGCCAGCAGTTCTCGTAGTGGTTGGTCTTCAGATTCAGCAGGAGATGGGCTGGGATCTGGAGTAGAGGGTTGTGGTGGCAGGGAATTCTTCAGGCTTATCTCACTGCGGACCTCCGTGATGGTTTTCTTGAGTAGCTTTAGCCTCTTGCTGCGGGACGGGCTGTGCTTCATGGCTATGCTCAGGTCCAGTTTCTCCAGGAGCTCCTTCAGCTGATCCTCCAGAGGAGTCTTTTGGCGGTACGTGGGAGTCAGTAAGCGGTCCACTACGGAGGACAGTGACATATAACCACGTCATTATCCTGATTACATGACTATTTTACTATTGAACTCACACTTTCACTGTTTAAATATTTATTATTATTCAATATACTTAAGAGATAACGATTAAAGATAAGTTACTTATCACTTTCAGATATTACTTCATGAAGCACTATAAGCCTACCATCTTCCCAGGTGAATGGCGGTGTTGGCTGCAGTTTCGGAACTTCAGGAAGATGCAACCCACTGGGGAAGTCGAAGCCAATCCTCTCTGCTTCTCTGCGGGCCCTGCGAAGGATGGCTCCGCCATGGTCTTGCATCCGCTGAGCCGCCTTGTAAAAGAAGGTGTCCTTGGAATTGTATGTCATGCAGTTGGATATTATGAGGTCAAAGTCTGCTTCAAACTCCTCCAGGCTCCTGTAGAAGTGAGCATCGATTCTTTTTCTCATGGTGGAGAAGTCAATAGGGTTCTTGATGATATCCAGGTAGTCAGGTACCTGCAGAGAACAGAGAACAGACATCAGGTGCAGCAGTCTAAGAGGAGGAAGAAATTCTGGTTCACGATATCCCTTTTTCAAAAGGCACGCTGGAAGGTACTGAGCCTTGACCCTCTAAAGCTTGATTTTTATGGATGATCGGTTTGGGCACTAGTTTCAGAACTTGGATGTCAATTTTTAAACCTCAAAATGGTCAACCTTTGCAACACAGGTTGTCCAAATTTAGAAAACAATGCATGCTTTCATTTATATCAAGAAGCTTTGCACTCACATAAACAAATTGCATTTCTTCGATCATTGGCACAAAAGGTGCCATTAGTTTCACTGTTTAGCTGTTCATACAACCCACTTGATACTGAGGTATGGAATCCGTGCTACATGTTTCACTGTCAGGGCAGCACGGTGTTGTGTGGTTAACACTGCTGCCTCACAGCAAGAAGGTCCTGAGTTTGACTTCACCACCTGGCTGGGACCTTTCTGTGTGGCGCTTGCATGGGTTCTCTCTTCCTCCCACACTCCAAAGACATGGAATGAGTGGGGTTAGGTTAACTGGTGATTAAAGTGTGAATGGCTCTGAGTGGTGACCTGTCCAGGGTGTACCCTGCCTCTTGCTCTATGGTATCTGGGATATGACCCTGATATGGATAAGTGGAAGAGGATGGATGGATGTTTCATTGTGGTAAATATCACTTTAAATAAAAAAAATAAATTAAAAAAAGGAAAAAAGAAAACAGTAGAGAGAATACCACAGATGCACAGGAATCGCTGATTTGAATCGCAGGCCCCTATCATACACTCTCTATTTGCACATGGACAAATATTCTTCAATTAGGCTGAAGAGAGTGTGGAGCCAAATACACATTGTGGAAGTACAAGGGCCTGAAACCCTGTCTGTACCAGTTGAGCATGGTGGAACCAGACTTTATACCACACAATCTACTGCTAAACTTGCAAATATGGTGATATGGTGGTGATCCCTGATATCCCTGGTAGTATGTTATTTACACTTTTACCATTAGTCGAAACCAATACTCATTAACAAATTGGTGTCAGTGCATCTCATTATCCTGAAATTTTCATCACGTGAACATGGGACATCGTTCCTGAGTTTCAATGGAAAGTATGCTTTTAAGGAATGCAACTGTTGCTTAAAGCAACTGATAGAGCACTATAATGTAATGAAAAGCCAGTCATCTCAAATGCAATGCGTGAAATGTTTTCTGAAATGAGAATACTTTCACATTAAATTGGGTCTTCTTGAACTGGTGATTTCGGTTCAGTGAACTACTTTTAGTATAATGATGGAGACACACTTGATTTGTTTAATACAGTTATGTAGATGTTAAACAGACTTTATAAATAAACATCTTTGACTAAGACTATGGCAGGAAAAAGAGGTGTTGCTAAATGTCGTTATATATTAGCCATTTCATTTGAACTGGGGAAAAAGACTTGCTTTAAACTGTTTTAAAGTGAATAATGAACAACTGCTGACCTCTTTAATGCTGACAGGCTGAGCGAAGATGCTGTACTGGTCCTTCTCCTGCAGCTGACTGAGCACAGCTCTCAGCAGGATGTTGAAGGGAGTCAGCTGGACCTCCAGCACTGATTGCTGAAGCTTCATCTGTCGAAAGAAGGTAGCCAAACAATGTTAATCCACATGAATGGCATGAGGTGTTATCAAGAGTCCAAGGTCAATGTTTATTAAAACCGAATGAGTGTATACAGTAAATCCCATTTTGGGGTCGATGTTTATGTTTTAGCGCATTGGGTGTTTGAAGCACATAAAAGGTTTTAGACTAACAGTCAAGTAGTCAAATTTGTGAGGAGCTGTCCAACTAATCAGTGGAATTTGGGATGTTGTGGGTAGTAATGAGTTAACTAAACAAGAACAAATATAATTACAATAGTGAGTAGTAAATGAAAAGTAAAATATTTAGCTTTAACTTGAGAATAAACAATGTGTCCTGAAAAGAAATGATGAAAGGAATAAAGCTCTGCACTAGACAATCGTGAAGTAGTAAATGCTGAAAGGGTTTTACCTCCTCCCTCTTCAGTTTTTCTCTCTTCCTGATGAGCTCCAGCAACAGGCGGGCTCGCTCCAGGTCGTGACGGAGGCGGTGCCACTCTTTCAACTGCTCCTTCAGTGCCTGGTTAGACTCCATATGGTCCTGCAGGAAACAAGCGTCAGCTCAATAACAAGAACTACATTAAAAAGGACAATACCCTACTGTGTGAGGTTGCTAGCTGTCAACAGAACTGACCGTCTTCTTGGCTTTGGGCGGCTGTGGGTTGGCCTGTAACCGGCGGATTAGGGGCACATTGTTCCTTGACTGCCTCTTCAGCACCCAGTAGCTCAGCACCCCCTCAACAAATGAACGCTTCCTCTGAACTGATACCTGGTTGAGGATGGTATCAAAACTAACCCAACATAGAAGAAAAGGGGAATATTAATCAGTGAATAATAATAATAATATTTTTGATAATATTTTCTCCGTAGCTCTAAAATGCTGTCAGATCTCTGGCTTGTCATTTTTGACCAATCAGATATCTTTGTATTCATCTCTTATAAAAATCACTGCTGACACACCCGTGGAAAAAACCTTTAACTCCACTGTATTGGAATAATGCTGGCAAAGTTCTCTTGAAGTACTACTGATAAATATCACTTATCTCAAGTTAAACTTTCAATATTTACTTTTTCCAGATTCATACAGTTTTACTGTTTTCTGTATGTATTAAAAATCCCTACCTTAGATAGCACTCAACTAAAATTAGAAGCAGAAAAAAATTATCATTTCAAATGAAATAAAGGACAAAAGACCAAGGAGAGAGAGTGTTGATTTGGTAAGCTAAGGCTGACTGTTACCTTGAAGCAGTAATGCTAGGTCCAGAGCTGGTCGGAGTTTCAGGTTCCGTTTCTGGTTCAGGGTCTGCTCGTTTATTCTTTTTCTTCTGCCAGCCCTTGGCCTTCCCTTTCTTTTCAGCTCGCTTGTGAAAGGCTCCATTTTTAGGGTGGGGCTCCTCATAGATGTTGAGTGGCCGGCGGTCACAGCCTTCAGGTGTGTGGCTGCAACAGTAAGCAGTCTTTTTCACAGAGAAAGTGGTGGCACCAGATGCAGTCACCTCTTTGACGGGCTCCATCTTCATGCAGAGACCAGCTTTCTGGGCGCAGCTAACGTGGAAGGCGGTGTAACAGTTGATCTTGTCACACTGGATGCACGCGCCGACACCTTTCTCCTTACACAGATAGCAAGTAAGCTTCCAGCGAGCAGGTGGGATGTTGCGGACACCGTCAATGGGCTCGATGAAAACTGTGTCCGAGAAGCCAACTTCGGGCACCCACAGGGCACATGCTACATGGCCCCAGCGGTCATCATCTGTCTTCTTCAGAGCTCCTCCTCGATTCGGGCAGAAAACACACTCAGCCGGTCGTGTCGGACACTGGAGGCAGTGGCGACAAAGCCACTGGCCTTCGGGGATGTATGGCACACCGTAGCACTCCTGGTGCACGGCAATGTTGCAGGAGTCGCAGAAGAGGATGACGTTACTGTCAGCTCCATCTCCATCCATGCATATACAGCACACAGCATCCTCATCCACAAGTGACTGCAAGTCACTCTGACCCTGCGTGGCTAAGAATGACTCTTTCTCAAAGCGATCCATGAGAAACTCAAACAGGTTGTGCGACACTTGACTTATTCCCTCACTTTTTCTTTTCTCATTGATGATCTCCATCCAGGCATAGTCTTCCTCATCCATGTCATACTCCACCTCCTCATCCAGCTCCTCAGGTGTCCTCTCAGTGTATTTGTAGTAGGTTGCTGGCCTTTTCGGTACCACTGGCAGATTGTATTCAACTGTTCTAACCTTCGGCTCCAATAGGCCACTGGCACTGCTGTGGGTGGCACTACCACCATGTGAGGTGGTGAGAGCTGCATTCTTCTTCTGCTGGTTGTTTTTGAGGCGGACAGAGCGCACCAGAACCTGCTGGGGCTTCTCGTTATTCTCCTTGTTGCTGTTACACTCCATGATCTCTTGAGCTGTGGGGTCGTCGTCTGTGATAACATCCAGCTTGTCGTAGATGCTGAGCCGGTGTACACGGCCATCCACCTCCAACTCCACCATTCGCTGAGCTTGTGCATATGTCAGTGTCTCCCGGTTGGGCGATGGCTTGATGGGAGAAGTCTCTCTCTTAATCACTGCTGGTCGTTGGTTTCGACTTTTCTTCTTCATGTTTGAGCTATGAGGACCCTGAAAAAACCCAAGCAATGAAACAAATGTGTAAATATATGTTTTAAAATTTATACTCTTTTGTAAATCATCGTTGGGTTTCTTGAAAAGCGCTACACAAAAAGTTATTATTATTATTATTATTATTATTATTATAAATAACTCGCTGATCTAGCAGCTGCTGAGAAAGCTGTCATGTCATGGATTTCACTGTACATTTCTGCATGTACACAACTGGCTGCTGTCACATCTTCCAACCCTTGTTTACAGATAAGGGAAAAAATGTCCCGAAACAAAGTTTTCACCTCTGTATTTTGTGTCTTCTTCGTCAAGCCTAATTTAAAGTAGTAGTAAGCCTTCTACATTTAAATGACCGACTGCTGTCTTTTGATCCTGATGGTGCAATTGTTTTGACTATATTAAAGGAGTGCTATGTTAAAGTTGCTAAACAAAACCCTGTTCATTACATTAGTTAGGGAATCATATCAAAATACTCCAAAATGCTAATTAGTAAATATTAAATAAAAACCTTAATGTGAGATCCAGAATAAAGTTGTGACGTAAATTTTAATCCTACAGTAAATCTGATCCATTGACAGCTACAGAAAAACAGATCAGGACTGGGGCTACTTGGATTTTAATTTCTTGTGCTCTTTATGAATTTGTTGACACACCATTAAAAAGATCTATCTTTCTGTAACCAAAACGTGAAAGATATAGTTAAATGTCATAGACGAAGAAAACCACCAAAACCTACTTTCCAAGCGTATCTATTATTGGCCAGGTAAACCATTATCAAATGAATTATTCCAGCCATGTTTGCATATGTATATCGATTTCCCTGAAATCCAACTCCCCCCAAATAACGCTATTACTTAGATTTGTACCTTCGCGACACACACACTTTATTTTATTTTTTAAACCAGGGCAAGTGAAGTTAAGCTAGCAGCTTTGAACATAGTGCTCCAACGTGTGCTGGTGCACCTTTAACTCGTGAGATCAATGCGCTTTCAGCCGGCTGCGCTAACAGTACCTTCAACCTTCACTGGACAAATGAAAGAAATGCATCGAGAGCAGGAAGCAGCAATGCCGAAGATAAGGAGCCTCCGATCTGCGCAACCTGTGTGGTTTGTTTCCTGAATAACAGCGGCTCCACGTAGCTGCAGCTTGTTACTAGATCCATGTCCGGTACGGGTAGGTACGTTAAGTCCGTCTAGACAGTGATCCGTGCTATGTTTCGAACCTGCTTTAGAACGACCAATCAAACACTGGCGGGTTACAAGAAAAGACAACCATGTTGTTCCCCTTAATAAACAGGCGGTGGCCTCTCTAGTTGCTAGTCCGTCCAGAAACCGGGCTAACATTAGCCTGCTACTACAGGGACTTGAAGAGGAAGGAAATATGGCGACCAACACAAGAAACTACCTCAATTAAAAAAGTTGTCTTTTTCTATGAGTAGCACTGTTTCGTTTCTAACTTAAAGGTATCCAGGGTACAGGGAAAAACATTAAACGGGTAAAACGAGAGTGAGGTAAAACTTACCTCGCTATTTTCAAGAATTAAGCTTATAAAAACAGCAGCAATGGCGGTGCGGCCTGCGGAGCGAAGCAGCAGTTAAATCCACATTCAGTCTGGTCATCCAAAGGCGACCGCGGCTCGCGCTGAACCGAGTGAACCTTAGAAGTAACCGACAGGTATCCAGGGCGACGGGAGCGGTTTCAAGTGATATACTAGGATATGAGGCTTAAAATCGATCGCTGGGACTGTGGAAAAGCAGTAAGAAGTGGCAGGGCTCAGCGGCTGCCTGAGCTTCTCTTCCCCCACAACAATGCGGTTGTGTGAGTCGCTATGCCGCGACGTCACCACGCAAACCAGGAAGTGTATATATATTTATTATTGTTATTATTTCATATTTAAATACGAGCATATGATCTCTAAATACGATACGCAAAGATTATTAAAAACATTAAAGTCGTTCTGGCATCCAACAGATGACCGATCGAAAGGGTATGGACTTTCCGACCGCATCGCTTCCATATGGTACACGCGCTAACCGCTTGTGGGGTCGTCTGAAAGACGTTTTGAACCTACCCACTGCACTTTAGTAAAAGGTAAATTACGATTCAAGGAATATAAAACTATGAGCCGTATGTATTTGTGATTGTAAATTTTCTTTTTCTTTTAAATGATTGCATTAAATATATACATTTAATGTACATTAATATATCTTTTATGACTGAATCTGAATTTATTTTGAATTTTCTCTAATCCATGTGGATTTATAAGTATACATACTGGCCCAAATATATACTCAGGTAGTGATGTTGAAAGTTCCACAATGCTAACCTGAGAAGGCGAAGGCATATTAACTTCTCATTAGTGATCGTGACCGACTACAACTGGTAGTTTCTCTTTGCATAAAATGATTTTTGACAGCCTTTATGTATACTTCTGGCACTGCCAATAATATCAGTCAACCATATATTGATCTATTTTTATGATCCTGAAAAAATGTCTCGTGTTTTTAAAAAATATATATAATAAGTAAAAACTGCACCAGTATAAATGCGGAGCAGTGAGTTAAAAATACCATCCGAGACTTACGGTTTATATTAGGTATATATTTTAAAACTATTACTGTTCCAAGTAGATAATCCTTGGGGTTATTGGCAAGAGTGGCATTATTAAATACTAAACATCACCATAGTGAGTGCTTTTATTTCACTTTTTTTTTTTAAATACAATTTTATTATAGTGTGACAACTGAACAATTATTAGTCATGGAAAAAATAACATAACATTGACTGTGCCTGGTTTGGCTTAAAATAATATTTTTCTCAATTTAAAAGTAATGGATAAAAACATTTGTTTCAAAGAATTTTGCATCAAAATACAAACCAATAAAAACATACATCTCTGCTTAGAAAAAACATTCAAAACAGCCTCCTGTGTCTTTGTTGATAGACATGCCACTACAGGCCTCATAGAAATTAAACTGTTAGCCATCTTCTCATCTGTCAGGAAAGAGTTCTTTTAATAGTAACTATCCACCGTATCCGGGTGTTGGCCGATTTTGTTTTTTGTTTGTTTTTTTTCTTCAAACCACCAAGAGCATAACTGATTTGGATCAGGTTGATTCAGCGTTTGGCTCTGGCTCATCTTGGCTCTGGGTGGGACAGACTGATGGAGCATCCTCTCTGGACAGCAGGTTCTTTTTGCGGAGATGGCAGGCCTGCTGGTATGGGGGACGTATGGGTGGCTGAGCAGGGGGCGTATACTGGTACTCTTTACCAGCATCAAGCTGAGGAAAGGCAAGAAACAGCCAGGACACAAAGACAGCAAAGAGAAAAATACATTAATTTCTTTGGACAATTTGTTCAACAGCATTTATGTATGTAGGTAAATAAGGATTATTTTTGAACGGTGAGTCAAGCAAAACTGCACCCCCTATTATATTTCACTCATTTATTACTAAACCATTAAAATTCAGTATTAAGATATTGGAATAATTATGCATTCCATATTAGAGTGAAAAAAATATAAAGCAAGGGATAACCAAGACATCACAAGAAAAACAAAAGTTTAATTAAAAATTACACTCAAACAGAAAATTTTTTCAAAATACATTAATTAAAGTGGACATGAAACACTACACATATAAAGACTAATTTACACCATGGAGCTCTGCTAAAAAAAGTAAGTTTTTAAAACATGTTTAATGTCATCTTCTGTCAGTATACACATTGACCTACTTTCCCTGCAGATGTGCTGATGGGGTTCCCGTTTGTGCTTTGGTAAGAAACATAGTTATATTTGTTGTGTGATGTGCATGTAGCGTGCTGCTATGTTGTAAACTGTCTGGGCGTGCTTGAGAAAAGAGATTTTATTGCATAAAATAGAGCTTATTGCATCTGCTGATTTCCCCACTCAGTACACTCGGCCAGAGGAGGAAATATCAACTTCTGACTCCAGCTTGTTGGGCTGGTGAACCACCTGTCACCTGGCTCAAGCACACTCTCTTCCACACAGTTCTCATTTATAAAGTGCTTTACAAACCTGAACATTACAGCTAACAGCTGGATTTCCCCGTGTCACAATTAGCTAGCAAAACAATAACAAACTACTGATTGCTTAAGAAACAGAGTGAAAGTGGACAGTATATCCTCAGTTTTAACATAAAACTCATTGTTGCAGCCAGAGACAGCACAAAAGTGACCCCCCTCCCCCTTTAGACTGATTTTTAGTTTTAGTGTAGTTTAGTGCTTTCCACAGATTTATCAGTTCTGTCACTAGTTAGCTAACACAAACTAATGTGTCTATTAGCCCCAACCAACCAGTGATGACACGTTCCGTACTGGCACAAGATGGCGCTAAACATGTTATAAAATCTGTAAGCACTTCTATCTTAAATACAGCTTCACAGACGGAGTTATATCTGTCAGTTTTTGAGAGCAGGGCTCCATGGTGTAAATTAACCTTTATACACATACGGTTTCATGTCTACTTTAAGTTTGGTTGGCAAGTTTGACTCTGTATCAGGATCAAGAGGATAAAGCAGCTCACCTGCAAAGGGTAGGTTCTGTCAGAGTCAAAGGCACTGAGGTCACCACACGCCAGGAATGGGACAATGACACGGTTTGGACCTTCTAACTGGTTAAAATCCACATCTTAAGCACAGAGACCAGAAGAGAAACTTATAGGTGTGAATTTATGCTGCAGAAAGAGACTATGCAAAAGTTAATTCAACATTCAAAGGAAGAAGCAAAAGATGTGTAATGCAGTGCTGCACAGTCTGAGGTTCTGTTCATGCAATACACCATGGTTTGGTATCTAGCTTGTGTTGGCTTAATGTGCAAGCAAGGAAAAAAGGAAAAAGCAAGGAAAAAGAAACACGTGGCAGGACCTACAGATGGAAAAAATGTAGTATTTAAACTTTAGCTTTGAATAAAACTTACTAAATATAACTTTTGCTTATGTGCAAGAAAACTCCACAGGGTATTTTTTTAAAAGAATTACCAAATGTGGCCACAAAATTATTGTTAGCATACACTATTTTGCCAAAAGCATTCACTCACTCATCCAAATAATTTAATTCAAGTGTTCCAACCAACTCCATGGTCACAAGTGTATAAAATCAAGCTCCTAGGCATGCAGACTGCTTCTACAAACATGTTTGAAGGAACGTCTCGCTCTGAGGAGCTCAGTGAATTCCAGCGTGTTACATGATAGGATGGAAGTCCAGTGGTGAAATTTCCTCACTACTAAATATTCCACAGTCAACTGTTAGTGGTGTTATACCAACTAGTGGAAACGATTGGGAAGGACAGCCATGAAGTAGTGGCCATGTAAAATGACAGAGCAGGGTCAGCTGATACTGAGGTGCATAGTACGCAATGGTCGCCAACTTTTGCTACAGACCTCTAAACGTCATGTAGCCTTCAGATTAGTTCATAAACAGTGAATAGTGTTTCATGGAATGGGTTTGCATGTCTGAGCAGCTGCACCCAAGCTTTACATCACCAAGCACAATGCATGTCATCACTGGACTCACTGGATCAGTGCAGAGGTGTCTCTTGAAGTGACAAATCACACTTCTCCATCTGATGGAGAAGTCTGGGTTTGGCGGTTGCCATGGGAACGGTACTTTTCTTACTGCAGAGTGCCAAGTATAAAGTAGAGGGGGGATTATGGTGTGGGGTTGTTTTTCAAGACTTGGGCTCAGCCCATTTGTTTCAATGAGAGAAACTCTTAATGCTTCAGCATACCAAGACATTTTGGACAATTTCATACTCCCAACTTTGTGGAAACAGTTTGGGAATGGTATTTTCCTGTTGCACCATGACTGTACACAAGTGCACAAAACAAGGTCCATAAAGGGATGGATGAAAGAGTTTGGTGTAGAACAATTTGACTGAGTTCTGACCTCAACCTAATAGAACATCTTTAGGATGAATTAGAGTGGACACTGTGAGCCAGGCCTTTTTCATCCAACATCAGTGTCTGACCTCACAAATGTGCTTCTAAAAATATAAATACACTCCTAAACATTGTAGAAAACTTTCCAAGCAGAGTCAAAAGCTGTGATAGCTGCAAAGGGTTGCCCACCAATATATTAAACACTATGGATTAAGAATAGGATGTCAGTCTAGTTCATATGTGTGTAAAGGCAAATGAACTAATACTTTTGGCAATACAATGTATGTTACACACTTAGTAATTTACGTCTGTAAATTTTAAGACAACTTATTGTCTTGCAACTAAAACTACATGGTTGAAAACATGAGAAAACTATTATTTAGACTTGGTTTACATTTTTTCAATGACTAGTTTGAACACATAGAACAGGGTGATGATTCTGACCCAAGTACAGTTTCCTGATCCAGTTCAGATAGCAAAGTAAAGACTTATGTGGTTAAATGATTGATAATTACCATAGGAGTGATCCAGCAGAGGATTAGACATGTTGGGGATGTAGCCTTTGGGAGGAGAGTAATTCTGACAGACCACGAAGGCCTCTGTACACAGAAAGACAGATCATTCACGCAGTATGTCAACAGAGGTCATTCAAATGTTTGAGATGGGAATGGGTGTGTAAAATCAAACAATGGATACTGGATTAGAAAGTTCCTCAGAGAGAATCTCCAAACGATTTTATAAGACCAGGCAGCCATTCATTATTAGTATAAGATTTTGTGTAGCCCACCGCCTGTGTGTGAGTGCTGCTGAAACATGTAATAAAATCCACAGCAAATATAAATTTCTTTGCTTTGGATTTCATAATAAAATAAATAAATGAAATGGAGATGAGATTTTCCTTCTATTAGATCCATGCGAGTG